CTCCATCTCTCCTCAGATCCAAGCTCATACATTTATACAGTAGGTGCACTAACTCATGAAATATCCAATCAAATTCCGAAATGCGTTTTACTTTCGAAAATATTAATTAGGTAAATGCGTAAAACTGATCATCCTGCAGCAAATTTCTATATTAATCCAGTTACTTCGGAATGCCAGCTTTCGAACGTGCTTCTTTTCGGCTGCATGCAAAAACCATATTGTTTTATAAATGTCTACTTAACTGGCATGTATTTTTCTCGTAGATCATCGATGTCGTTAAAAAGTCAATATTATTTCATAGAAAGCATGCATAAGATTATTCCCTCTCTTTTCCATTAGGTAGAAAATTACGACTTCTTTCAATTTTATACTAAAAGAAAGGGTGTATTTTGTACTTTAAAAAATTTCCAATTACCGAATAATGTTGAGCCGGACCCGCCATTATACTTGCATTCGAGGTTTCCAAACTACAAGCTAATATTTTCCGCATACGGAGAACCAGACATTCCTCTACGGTATTAAGAGGAGACTACGCGGGGTTCATAAAAGTTAGCAGTTTATTTGAGCCATATTTTTAACTTTACAAGCCATATTTGTAAATGCAGAAACATTACATTTTAAGAAAAGTCAACACACGGTATTAAAAATCTTACAATTAGCAACTTTTTAAAAACCGAATTATTTACTTTCTTCAATTATTAAATTGGATGAAGTACTTTTCTACCGAATGAGCAAAAGCGTGAGTATTATATATATATACTTTCCATAAAATATTATTGAATTTTTAAAAGCATCTTAAATAAACAAGAAAGGACCCCGCTATTTAAGTACTATTTTTTTTACAGAAAATGGCTTTTGCATGCAGCCAAAAAGAAATTCGTTCAAAAGGCGGCATCCTAAGATAATTGAATTATTAAAGAATTGCGTCTCACGATGATTAGTTTTATAACCCTACTTAGTTAGTCTGTTCCGAAGGATAAACGCTAAGTTCGCGCATCACTTTCCTCGGAAAGTAAACAAGGCGGAAAAAATAGAAACAATAAGACTCATGTCATTTAAGCTAATCCACTTTGTAGAAGTGCTTAAAGCCTGTCTACACAAACGGCGGTAACTTAAACAAAACCGACACTCATTCGTTCGGAAAAATCGTTTTAACTCAAAATGCAAATCATTCAAAAATTCATGTACTAAAAATTACAGAACACGGCAAATTGTGCAATATTTAAAAACAATTTTTAAGATGGTAAGAAAATATAGTGAAACTTTATGTTTGTCAATTTTTAAGATGCGGTTAATTAAGGCAAATAAACCTCAGCTTGAGTTCAAAGATAGAGGCATAAAAATAATAAGTGTTTTATAAAGGACGTATGTCGAGTGTTGCGTTACTAAAAATGCAAACACCATTTTTCAGATGAAAGCATATGCATGCCGTTTCCTCTGCGTCGGAGGAAATCTTTTTCATGAAAGTACTGTACAGTTTGATGGCGCCGATGCGTTTCGATTCGGAACATCCTTGAAACGTCAATGAATAATTTTTTTCCGTGTTCCCAACGAACTTGCCGCAGCAATAGCTCCTTTTATTTGCTTTTATTGAAACCAGCAAAATACGACAGTTCTTGAAAGTCTTTAAATAACTAATGAGTTTAAGTACCTCCTCTTTTATGTAGGCGGCGGATTTTAAGCAAAGTTTTGACTCATAAAAAATGCGAAATTTTCCAATTGAAATGACCATTCGTGACGAAGTCCTGCAATAGGTATACCCTTGACTTCTTTGAGAACTGTTAGGATTTTGTATTCCGCTGATGACAGTCTAAGCATTTAAATGTCAAGTAACAATTTGGGACACTTAACCCCTTGTATAAGCAAACTTTGTGATACCCACTTCTTCGGTTGTAAGACGCAGCGAACAACAGCAATCGCCTTTCAAAATTATGTTGTATTATGAGGTAAATGCATGTTAAATGTTCGCAAGTTTATACTGGGTCCAAAATCACTGTTCATTAGTGGAGTTACCAATAGCTTTGTCTGTAACCCTTGATGACATGCATCTATATCTGTAGTTCCAAGACAGTTAACAGCGTGGTAGAAGAATGTTTGGTAATGCTTTGGTAAATATAAACGCCTTTGGTAATCATTCTTTAGCTGACTTAAAATCAAGATGTGTCCGACAGTTATTTGGATCGAGTTATCTCCACTTAAAGGTATCCGAGAGATGGCGTTTGGTTTTCTTTGTGGGACGAACAAGCCACTGCACCTTTCTGCAATCCGGTTGGTAATTGCATATCATCTAGAACGGATGGTGTTTTGTTGAAAATTCCCTGACTCACCTTTAGGCTTCACCCTGAGTTTATGTTTTTATCACACAATGACCCTATCAATAAAAAAGGCGTTGTCCAGATTGTTAATATTCCGTTTGTTTTATTTGTAAAATACGCATTTACGAGGCCTCTGCTGCACACGTAGAAAAGTTAATGGCAGCTTCATCTGGACTATTTTAGGATTTCTTCTGAAATATTTGCACATGCTATGGTACCTTGGAATAAAGGCTTGTCTTTGCGTGCTGTTTTTGTATTTTGCAGGTTACCAGAAAAACAGTATATAAATCTAAATATTGTTTTAGAAAATGCATTAAGAGCTTTTGAACATAGTGTGCCCTTTCATCTCCAGCTCCACCTGATGAATACAGACCACAAAACCAGTCTTCATGGAGAAAGAATTGTTTTGTTACATCTATCCTATTTTAGTTAATTTACGCAAATTTGTTCGTTGAAAGTTATCGCCATGAGCGTCAGAATATGAGATCATGTCCTTTATCCCTAATGTGTAGTTTTCGAACATAGTGTGCCCATTCAACTCCAGCTCCACGTGAAGTGTGTGAACCACAAAAATCAGTTTTTCTTGGGGAAGGGGTTATTTTACTAAATTCGTCCAGTTCTTACTAATTTGTGTAAATTTGTTTTATAGAAGTTACTTCAGTAAATATCAGAATGTAAATGTATATTCATTTTTCCAATGTGTAGACGCTTTCCTTCACAATACTTCTTCCAAACGCAATCTGATTGAGTACAGGGTAATTTTAGGACATGCTAAGTGAATAAGCAAGATTGACATTTCTAAAACGTGGTTTTGGGAATAATGTAGCTGATCCGGATTTCCTATAGAATAATTTGCGAAAACAGTTTTGCTTACTTGTGAAGGCATACTCGACACTATAATGCATCATCATAATAATTTGAAATAGAATTGCTTAAGTTCTGTTATGATTCACATTTACACTTTGAGGAAGTTGCAGCCGGCGAACGTATGTTTCCGATTATTCTTCATCAGGCCAGTACATTAATAAAGGTCTGGGTATAGCACCGAAATTTGCAAAGTAAAACAACTTCATGACTCAGCTCTGAAACCATTTACCCAAGGTATGATACTGTGTATAAGTTGTTTTACTTCTAAAATCTAGCTTCTCTACCTAGATCTATATTAGTGTACTGGCCTGACGAAGAATAATCGAAAAAGGACGATCGCCGACCTGGACGTCCTTAGCTTGACATTGGTTTCGAAATCCAGCTAAATGTAGTAGTAAATTTTAAATATTTATGCAAGCTGCTTGTCGGAACTGCTGGCTGCACTCAAGTCTTGCCTTTGCTTGTGTAATTACAAATCCCACATACGCCGTCCATTCCTTTGAAGTCTGCTTACATCACCTACCAAAATCCATTTACTTAAATAAACGTTTTATGTAAGCTTTATATAACCGTGTTTTAATGCGACTGCTCAAGGAAACACCACGTGCGAAAAAAATGCATAATTGTTTGGTGACTACGTAGCCTTTCACCATAGCAAGATTTGAGCGTATTATTAAAGATTATAAGAGCATAATATTTATAGCTATCAATGTCTATTTTCATAGTTAGACGAGAAACATAGGACTGACTGTGGCCCGGTAATCAATTGGGAAGCAGGTCTAAACAAGGTGCGCTTGCTTGTTGACCACTGTGTCCGATTTCAATACAGATTGTTTAACAGGCTATAACAGCTGACTGGCGCATGTCGAGGAAACTATAATGAGACTGATACTGCAGGAATCCATCCTCACGGCAAACGAGCGTCTTCCGTCCCATAGTAAAAGTGATGTGATAGTTCGACCGTCGCTGCCGACGACGCCCACCCCGTGCTCCACAGCAAACGGAAGCAGGCCCGGCGACTTGTGCGTGAATTTAACTTATAGTGATGCATAGTAGACTTGCGCAGCCTCTACCGCACTCTCTCCTCCCCACTCCCCAACTGGACCTGGTGTCAAGGCATAGTCAAGATGCCCGAAGGTGGGGGAGGACACAGATGGATAGCACGATCAAGTCCTAACCTTGGGGTTCCATTCCAAACCCCCTGGTCCACACAACAAATGACCAAGATTTTAAGCAACAACATCAAAAGGGGATGACGCGGTCAAAGTCGCACCTGGCTCGGATCCCACAGAATGGGAGTGCCATAAAGTCCATATTAAGGAGGAACCATTGCAGCTTGACTCTTAAACCACCAGCAGGCCTGTCCAAACAAACACATAAACCCAGGCCGACTACGTGGTCTACGTTTTCCCGTCACTTGGCAACCTTCCAAGGCACGGATTTTAGGGCACTGTGATAGTTTCAGATGCGTCAGACTGTTTATAGTGAGGCAAATGCGCTGAGCCGTTGACCTCTCTTTCCCCATCATTACGTGCTAAGAATCATATCTTGGAAGAATATCACCTGACGAGATATTGAGGTCTTCAAGGTGATAGAATGTCTGATCGTCGAAATGCAATTATCGTTTTCTGCTGTGTCTATTACGACATTCCCATCTAGGCGCAATTTAAGCCGTCCTTATTGTTACCGTCTACATCGCAAATGGTTACAAGGTTAATAGTAGTGAAAATCCGATTCCCAGGTGGCATATCAAAAGAAGAGTGGGCGTTCACCGGGAGGGGTTTATTTGAGATCCGACGTTTCGGGTAGTTTACTCGTCTACCCATCTTCAGGGACTGAGAGGTCCTGTGCACAGCNGATTGAGTTCAGTACTTCCGCATAGTAGTTGATTTTATCCTGGTCTATGATCACGAAGGTGTCATCAACGTAGCGTGCCCAAAACTTGGGTTTGTACTCCTCGAATAGTCGTCTCTCGAGTTTTTGTAGAACCGCCTCGGCAATGAGTCCGGAGATTGGTGAACCCATTGGAGTGCCCTTGATCTGCTCGTATGTGGTCCCTTCGAAGGTAAAGAATGTCTTGAGGCAGTGCCCCATGAGTTCTATGAGATCCTGAGCTGTGGGCTGGCCATCGCCTCCGTCGTAATTTTGACGTAGCAGGTCACTGAGCGTTTCGACCGCAAGGGTCTGTGGTATGGACGTGAAGAGTGAGACGACGTCAAAAGACACCATCCTTTCATTCGGTTCGATCGTGACTGCCCTTATTTTGTCAAGGAATTGTTCTGCTGAGTGCACCGTTGTTTGTGAGCCTGCAGTTAGGAATCTTAGCTTCTGAAATAGCCAGCTTGCAAGCCCGTATGTGGGTGTGCCTCGGAGCGAGACGATAGGACGGAGGGGAACATCTGGCTTGTGTACTTTTGGGAGACCATAGAATCTCGCCATAGCGGTTTCTGCGGGCTTTGCCATATACCAGTCTTTGACGGTGATGACCTTGTCCTTTTTTAGTCGAGCCAGAGTTCTGTTAACCTTTGCCACTAGGGACTTTTGACTGGCGGCGTCGCTGACTTTATAGGACTCTCGATCGTTGAGGAGCAGGAGGGCTTTGCGTCGGTAGTCCACCTTGTCGAGGATGACGGTTGACCGGCCTTTGTCAGCAGGTAGAATAACTATTTCGGTGTCCGCTTTCAGCTCCCTTAGGGCCTTTTGTTCATCTCTTAGCAGGGCATGGGTTTTCCGGTGCGACATGAGAAGTGAAGAGACTTGATGTCGAAGGAGGTCCTTTACCTCGTCTGTGGCGCCGGTTTGACGAAGCACTGATTCGAAAGAAGCAATGAAGGTGACCGGGTCGGCGTCAGTTGTGTTAAAACCAGATCCACGTTGTAGAACTTTTGTTTGGGTCACAGTAAGTTGTTTTGACGAGAGGTTATGTACTATCGTTTGTTCGGTTTCCTGCTCTTGTGCGGTCTGCAGTGTCATGAACTTTATCGATAAATCCGCATCTCTGTTAGCACGTTTCTTTCGTCCCAATGCTAGTAATGTGTTCTCCAATGAGGCGGCAGTCGATTCCCCACACCGGCGTGTAACAAGCATCCGGTAGTTTTCAGCACAGTGTGCGTATTTCTTAAGTCGCAGGTGACAATCTTGTATGAGTACCCTTGTCATTCGCCGACTATGGCGGAACACCGTTTGTTTAGCCAATTCCGTGTTGACTGGAGGCTTGTAGGAGAGGCATTTTGGCATAACATAGTTGGCAAGGCATCTGTGAAGGAAATGGAGCTGTGCATAGGTCGAGGCCTGTCGGAGGACAGTTTTTTTCCCAACGACGAGCCAGTTGAAGCGCTTCGCGCCCGTAATTCACATCAATAGTAGTGAAAATCCGATTCCCAGGTGGCATATCAAAAGAAGAGTGGGCGTTCACCGGGAGGGGTTTATTTGAGATCCGACGTTTCGGGTAGTTTACTCGTCTACCCATCTTCAGGGACTGAGAGGTCACATCTTCAACTTTGACGCCGTTGAGATTGTGGGCCGGGGCGGCGACCACACAGCAAGGCAAGTGCAAGAAGCCTGGATGTCCACCGACCGCTCTGTCAACCGCCACATTAATTTGCCTCCCCCTTATCTGACTTTACGAACCTTCTTAGCGGGGGACAGTCACGTCGCCGGACAATCGGGGCCGTCAGTCATCACCGCGGCCGACGGGGGCGATTCAGGTAACGGTGACATGCGGGTTGGATGCAGCCACACAGACGGCATTGGCGGATCACGCATTGGACAAAGGGCGCCATAATAAGGAGTGCTGTGCACAGGACCTCTCAGTCCCTGAAGATGGGTAGACGAGTAAACTACCCGAAACGTCGGATCTCAAATAAACCCCTCCCGGTGAACGCCCACTCTTCTTTTGGTTACAAGGTTGCTTATAGCACGTACAAACAGGTTACTTGACTTAGCCAACCACTGCGTCCATGCCCCATTCCAGTAGCTTTGACATACAGTAGGTGGGCTAACTCATGAAATGTCAATTAAATTTACGAAATGCGTTTTAGTTTCAAAAAGATTAATTAACTGTAAAACTAATAAGCATGCAGCGAAATTCTATAATAATTAAGTTGCGTCGGGATGTCGGCCTTCAAACGAACTTCTTTCCGGCTACATGCAAAAAATATACCCTGTATAAATGACTGCTTAGGTAGCATGCGTTATGTCATTGATTTTGGATGCCCTTAAACATTCAACTATATTTCATGGAAAACATGCATAAAATATGTATTCGTTTGCTCATCTTTTAGGAAATTATATCTTCTTCCAATTTTATGCTCGACGGGAGGGTATAATTTGGATCGTAAAAGGGTTCTAATTGTGGGCTTTTTTAATGCCGTGAATTGGCAGTTCATAAAACGTCATGTCACTGCATTTACCAATGTGGCTTGTAAAGTTAAGACTATGGTTCTAATCCACTGCCACATTTTATAACGTCATATAACCTCCTCATAATACCGTAGAGAAATGTATAGTTTTCCGTACGTAAAAATATACGGCTAGTATAGGCAGTATGTTATTACCGACAGAGACAAGGAAGACTGGAGTGGCCATTTCTGGCTGGTTGGGCTCGAGGCAGAGCCCGTAAGGAACGACGGAACGAGCGAGTTTCGTAAGAACAATCGATGAGCGTCCCACTACAATACGGCTAGTAGTTTGGAAACCCTGAATGCAAGTGTAACGGTAGGTGGTGGTTCAAAATTATTCGGGAATTGGAAAAGATTTTCAAACTGAATTGTGTCCTCCCTTCAAACATTTTATTAAACGAAGACGTAAATTCCTACCGAATGTGCAAAAGAATGTGTAGTTTCACATATGCTTTCTGAGAAATATAGTTGGATTTTTAAGGTCACCGAAAATCTGCGAGAAAAATGCCCGCTATTTAAGTAGTCATTTTTTATAAAGTATAAATTCAGCATGAAGCCGAATAGAAGTTCTTTCAAAAGCGGACATCCTGACGGAACTGAATAATTATGGAATCACGCTCGTGATGACAAGTTGTACAACCCTGTTTAATTAATCTTTTTAAAACGAAAACGCATTTCGAAATTTCCGTTGAAATGTTATGGGTTGGCCCATCTTCTGTATTTTTTCATCGAAGCAAGGTATATGAAGGATGTGGAAGAGGGTGTGACGAGTACTGAGCACACCCGAGTCCTGTGAATTGATTAATGCGCGACTCCCCGTTGTATCCGATTGATGCGGCCCAAATTGGCCGGTGCCGCTTACGAAAATTGGACTGTCGCCGAAAATGTGTATGAACTGAGACCGCTGTTTATATAGAATCATCCTTAGGGCGTTGGCTAGTAAAAAAATATTTAATTTGTGTACTATCAGCACGCTAAAAAAGTGCAAAATCACTTATCCTGAGAAATATTTACATGCTTTAACTTGAGTCGAAATTCATTGGACTGAGCACAGTATCTGACGACACTTTACGATTTCTACAAAACTGTAACACGTTCGAAATTTCTGTCTACGTTTTCACAACACTCATAGACTATACTTGTGTAAGTCTCACAAATATTTACTAAGATTCCATATGTGTTAAAGAAGAGGAAGAAACAGTATTTACTCAGTTGGCTTATATTAAGTCGAACAGAATATGTTTGTATTCATCAAATTCGCAAATACTTTGTGAGGAACTTCCATTCTGTTTTAAACTTCCAGAAGGACGCAATAATTTCATATGCATTTGCATTAATATGCTGATGCACATATTCAAAATAAACGTGTAGTGAACAGAGCCATCATTTCTATTAAAAAAATCTCATGTATGTGAAATGAAATTAGTACGTAAAAGAAATATTAAAATATCTAACTGGTTAAACAAACCATTTTACGCAATTCCCTACTTTGAATTTTACCTCTCCGGTTTTTATTGTGCACGTGTAAAATACACAGAACGATATTACCGTGATTGGGACAAATAAAACCGTTAGATCTCTCTTGCAATTTATGGTCGACTTTTTGCCCTCACCGATTACAATTTCTTGACTACAGTGAATTATCGACTACTTTTATTCAGCTCGAAAGCACATGATTGATGGGTGCAAGATCAACTTAATTCATATCTGTCTCCTGAGGAAAAATCACATCGGTCTTGGTAGGATTTCTCATAACAGCAATAAGCGCGACACACAGAGCACGTTGCAAATGGGACGGTAACTTGTAAAGAGGGAACCTGGACTGTGCATAGAATATTCTACTGACTTTTTTGAGCAGACTGTCAGTCACGTCTGTAGTAGGAAAAAGAGTCCAAGCATAAGGCGGCAATGGCTACCTATTTTCCGCTGTTTGATAGTGCATATGTCATGTTCTAATACTTCTACGTTCTGGAACCGAGAACCAAATGGTCCAAAACATCATCAGATAAAGGGTGTTTTGCGTGTCGAATTCAGCATACGAAGCTAGGAACGTGTTTTATAGACTGTATTTATATTCCATATGACACGAGAGAGAAAGACGAATTTGTTTTATTTTGAACTCATAAATTCCAAATGTTCAGCAAAAATTGGCTCCATTCACCATGGGCAGTATATAAGTTTATAGAATATTCCAGATTCAAAAGGTTTAACAATTATGGGGACAGTTCAAGTCTTGGTTTGTGTATTTCTATCTCTTCGCACGTAAGAGAGCGCGCCAGGAATGTCAATTCAGAACCTCAAAATGCCGATGTGCGACAGGAGATAAGTCGGTAATCGCGGCGCATCGGGCGGGAAGACTTCGCAGAAATAAGATCAAAATGCAAGGGATGGGCAACGTCATCTATAATCCGACCAGCAAATTGCTTGGCCATATTGAAATTTCGCTGTAGGATAATATCGACTTAAAAGAGATGAGAAACACCAGCAGCAAAAGAGAGCTTTCGGAGGACTCGCTTTAAAATTAAAAGATCTTTTTTGAGCAAAGCAGGAAAAATGACAGGAGACCAGTATAGAATAAGAGGAGGAATACAGACATCGAAGAATCGCCAGACTAAGAGTTGAGGTGTGTGGTCAGAACGTAAACGACGAATGTAATAAAGTTCACGAACTTTAATAAATAGGAACTCAATACGGAGAGAAAATGAAATATTTGAGGACAAAGTAACGCCGAGGTACCTGAAAGAGGATACTTCGTTAGGAAGGATGTGTGAGGATTCAGCACCAGTAGAGAGCCGCAGTCGGAAAATACACTAAACTGATTTTTGGTTGTCCATAAGAAGACCATTTTCCTCCGACCATACTAGGACATGTTTAAGGCTATCCTTTAGAGGCCGGAGGTTTGTTCGATTTTTGAGAGGGTTTCTAACAACCACATCATCAGCATACTTAACGAAAAGACGGCCTCTAGGGGATCTATATCATCGGTGTGGAGGGAGGAATGGTGAGGGGATAGAATGGAACCTTGAGAAACTCCGAAGTCATTAAGAAGGACCGTGGAGTTCCGCTTGAGTGCGGGTAGTAAAATAATCGCTAAGCCAGGAGACGACCCAGCCTGATGTTTTCGTAAGGAGAATGGAGCGCGAAACGGTATTTAAGGCTAGGGTGTAGTTAAGAAAAGCATACTCGTACTCGCGGCAACCCTTGTCTAATTCTTTTAGAGCAGAGTGGACCACAAGCACAACAGCATCTAAAGACGCGTGCTCGGCTTTATATGCGAATTGTAGAAAATCGTATAAACTGGATCAAATAGGCTTTATAATATCTTGGGCAACTCTTTTAGCAAGATTTATTAGTGTTGAAGAGCAGGCGATTGGAAGAAAAGATTTAGAACCAAACGAGCGGGTTTTTAGGGAAAGGAGTGATTCTTACTGCACGCTAGGCGTCGTGGGTCTTGAACTCCATGAAAGATATGCTGGTAAGGTGTGTTAAAATAAGGGCTATCTGAAAACAACGAAACTTAAGGAGAAAAGACAAGACACCATCCGGTCCGGCAACTGTTGATCCGCTGACCTTTTAGGGCGCTTCTCTACTGTCGTCACAGACATGGGCTGGGAGGCATCTGGTGATAAAGGAAGTGTCATTTAGAGAAAGCTGGGAGTCACGGTGGTTAGAGAGCCTAAATCAGCATCCACATGTACCAGTGTGCTACGATGGCCCGTGTGGCGCATAAGATATTTCCATATTTCAGCAGAGGAAGAGGGAAAAAAGGAGGAAGAAGAGGTAAAAGGCCGATTAATGAACAGGTTATTTATCCTGTCAATCTCTGTTTTTTATTAA